CATATTTCCACCAGGTGTGCTCCTTCTTGTCCTTTCATGCCATTAATAAAGAAATAACCAACGGGCACCTGCTGAGAGAAATAACCATAAACACCGACACATCGCTGGCAAGAGAAGTTGTATCGTCTTCTGCATTTGCATCATCATTAAAAAGCCAAGAAATTTCTTTCCATCTCACTCCATGTGTTTTCTTATAACTACTTCATCTGGCACTAAAGCACAGATAACTTCACTGGTTTCTTCTTTTCATTTTTTGCCACTTGTTGTAATACATTAAATACTTCTTGTGTAAAGTTTGATGTCTCATTAATGCTTTGATACCACTTTCGAATAACAAATGAATGTGGTAGAACAAGAATAGAAGCACGTCCTTCAAAACTGTAGGCTTTTTGGGGAGTATTATGTTAAGTATTACAATTTCAAATGATGTGAAACCGAGATAAATGATAATATAAATTCAGTACTTAAATAAATGCCGATATATATCCAGTTTATGATATTTGCCAACAAGACTGATACACACAGTTTCCTTTTTAATACAAATGTGTTTTAATATATAAACAACAATACAAATTACAATAACAGTAATCGTGAAGACGGTATGGAGAAGCGGACAGATTTGAAGTAAACATTGAGCTGCACGAAGGGTCAGCCACTAGCCCCCTGCTGTTCATAGTTCTCATTGATATCTTGAGTAAGAAGTGTCTCTTCTGCTACAATTGAGCTTATGTTTGTAGCTCCTTCTCATTTTCAGCGTTGGCGAATAATAGTTCCCACAGGGGTCCCTTGCGTTTGGAAAGAAGATGCTTGAAAGTGAATGCCAGAAAAGCAGAAGTCATGGCGATTGAAAGGGGTAGAAAGAAGAAGATCATGATCACAAATGTAAACTAGAAGCCACTGGAGTAAGTTGAAGTACAATCCAAAGTGAAGGGGGAAATGAGAAAGCTGTGTGATAGAATCCAGACGGGTTAGAAGAAATGGAAGGAAGTAGCCATAGTCATCTGTGACAAAAGGTTACCAAGGGCACTGAAAACCAAAGTGTATGAGAATGTGATTAGACTAGTGCTCCTCTACGAAGCCGAGACTTGGATCCTGAAGAAAAAAGAAGGCTTGTTGATAAAAACAGAAATGAGAATGCTAAGCTGGCTGTTGGGAGTGTCGCTAAAAGAGAAGAGAACGAATAAGAAAATTAAGGAAATGGCAGAAGTGGGTGGAATCGAGGAAAAGGCAAGAGGAGCGAGAGTGAGGTGGTTCGGTCAGGTGAAGAGAAGAACAAGCGATAAGGAGAGTATTACAGTTGCCAGTAGCCGACAAGAGAAGACAGAGGAGGCCAGGAGAGCGTTGAAAGGATGAAATTAAAGAAGACATGAACAAGAAAGGAATTGCAGAATACATGACAATGAACAGAGATGATTGGAGGAGAGCTACACATGTGATGGATGGCAAAATCTGCAAAAGAGAAAAGTCGAAGAAAAACGAACTATCTCTCACATGATAGATATGATCTAGAAACACATGATCTTTAGCATTCATCTGTACAGATTTTGTACTTGAGATAATTGGATCTAGAGCAACATTGTTAAGTGTGCTTGAACTGATGTACTCTCGATCTAATATCTTCTTTTTGGCAAACTACAAATAAATCACAATATATAATTGATTCAATAATTTACTGAAGCCATTTATATTTTTCCCTCTTTTTAATAAGTACTTCATTACATGGTCAACTTATTTTATTGCTTTACTATGGTAATTATTATAATATTCTTTATTAACTTTTAACTTATACAGAATTGCTATAGTGCTGGTTAAGATGAAAATTATAATCTGTCTGTATAGCTTTCCGTGTACATCGTTGGTACATTGCATCAACCCTCGTTTCTGTAATACTCTACATAACAATGTTTATTATAATTTCGAATTTACTAAATACAACAAATATGTTGTACACAAAGAATCAGAATTTTTAATGAAATATTTTTATTAAAGATTTGTTTGTGATTTATGGAACCAGTCTGACTAATCTGAGTGCAAGGTAAGAATAAAGATTTGCCATCTTACAATTTACATATTTCATTTAGATAACCTCCTATATGAATATCAAATTTTTTTTCTCAATAAAACCTTATATTTTATTTATTATTTTCTGTGCCCTAGGCCCCTAACACTAACTGTAGCAAAATCAGCATTGTAAGGTTAAAATGAAATGTTGAAAATAATAATTGAATCTAAATTGCCTTTTTTTTCTTTTTAGAATGATTGGAAATTGGAACAGACAATCAAAATTATTTATCCTATTTAGCCTGAAACTCGTAGGAGTTTACGTCTGTTTTTGTTTTATTTTACTGTTGAATTGCTCTTTGAACTGTGTCTAATTACTATACCTGTGTAACAAAGCTATAAATCACCCAGCAAACGTATGACTCAAGTTATGGTAACGGGTTTTAATTACGATGATATTTTTCATTTATGTTTTCTTATCTAACCTAATAAGTCTAATTCCTACATTTCAGTTACGCTTGTAACAATAAATAAATATTATACATAAAAAGCAAGAAATTTCGTTCTAACATTTGGCCTCTTGTTTTTCACTCTTGGCCCCCGACAAAGCCTTACATTTTTGTAGCGATTGTAGTAGTACATAAAAGGATTCTTATTTATTCTAAATATGCAACTTAGAACACAAAATTCTAATATAAACCAAATACAATGACCTAAAATTATTAGACTTTAACTTGCTTTCTAACTAAGCTATCAGTGGGTTAAAATAATTCCCTTATTTGGTCGAGGTGAACTCGACAATGGAAACAATAAATCTGTAAACTGAATAATTCAAACACTTTCGTTAGGATGACCTTGTCTTATATGAAAATTAGTAAATTAAAATCTTTCTATATTGGTTATAAATAATCTAAGAGCAATGTAAGAGAGAATTATTGACATTTTTTAAAGACAGGGTTCTATAGGAGAACGTCTCGAATGGATTTGACTTCCTGGTTTATATCTCAGTAAAACAAGAAGATTGGCGGCTATAAGTTTCGATTACGTCATAGCAGTATCTATATTATAAATTTGTACTAGAACTGAAAAGTTCAGTTAGGGATGGAAATGACGTCTAAAATTACAATTGGGAGAGAAGAAGTATCAGTAATACACAAAAGTGAAAATTGAGAATTTAAATGTTTTTCTTTCAAATTAAGAAATTAAAAGTTATTTAATATTAAAATCTGAATTATAAGCTATGTCTTTTTTGCCAAGTTTATTGATATATATATTAGTAATAAATTTGTTCAATTAAATTTTGAATGAAACTTTAGAAAAGGTCATGACCTGCATACTTTGACCCAGTAGTGCACATAGGCATAGACAGACATAACAGCGAGCACTATTATTTTTTACTAGATATAGAAATTAATCTTCTTAAAAACTAGCAGCTGTATCATAACTGCCTAGAAATTTCAAATACATTTTCACAGAGACGTTATATTTTTAATCAGTTACAGAATGTATTGCTATAACTATTTAATTTCAATATGTACGAGCAACTTTTTATTGATTACTTTCTACACAGCATTATATAGACCTATGTGTGATATCAACTTGTGTCATTATATAGACCTATGTGTGATATCAACTTGTGTCATTATATAGACGTATGTGTGATATCAACTTGTGTCATTATATAGACCTATGTGTGATATCAACTTGTGTCATTATATAGACGTATGTGTGATATCAACTTGTGTCATTATATAGACCTATGTGTGATATCAGTTTGTGTCATTATATAGACCTATGTGTGATATCAGTTTGTGTCATTATATACACTTATGTGTGATATCAGTCTGTGTCATTATATAGACCTATGTGTGATATCAGTTTGTGTGATTATATACACTTATGTGTGATATCAGTCTGTGTCATTATATAGACCTATGTGTGATATCAGTCTGTGTCATTATATAGACCTATGTATGATATCAGAACTGGCATTAACGCTAATGCATCAAAGTTGCATGCCTTCATCAAGGATCAAGGGTTGGTGTCTGAAGAGACAGAAACAAAATGTTTGTTCGATGCAATATCACTGAACAGGACAGTTTCGTGAAGAGAGGCATTAGTGTGAATAGATCTTATTGTGCTTCTAGAGATTGAATTATTGCTTCAAGAATATAACTGAGATGTTCGACTAAAATGTACACTCTTTTTTTTGGGGGGGGGGGGATCTAGTCAGTCCAAATTGCCTTAATTCAGGATACCTAGAACGTTGTGATGGCTCACCTTAAACCAGAAACTAAAGAAGCTATGAAATGGCCAGAAATAAGTCATAGCTTAAAATAATCCAATAGAGCAACTCTTGAATCTATTTGGACACCGCATACATAAAACCCCTCACATGACTTCAAAATACTTGGAGTTGTATTGACTGAGGAACGAAACAGAATTACCATACCCACATCCACCAAATGATCAAAAGTATTATTCCTTGCAGGTGCAGATACTTTATCAATGTCGGTGGAGACAGAATATACCTAAATTTCAGCTCAATATTTTAATTGGTTGAATAATAATTTATGAAATTTGTCTCTTTAAATTGTTTGGAGTAATTTACCTTTTAACTTTAAAAAATGCCGCCTGCTGAAAATATTTTTTTAAATATGTATTATAACATATCTAATAGATAGATATCATTTAGATAAGCTTTGTTACACAATCGAATTAGCGAATCCAAGGTTATTATTTCTGACTATTAAAGGCTCATAATTCAAAATCAATGTTAATTGCATGAATTTGAAATTCAATATTAATATCATTTGCATAGTTCACAATTATCATTAATTGTGTAGACTTGTAAGTTTAGAGTGATATCGTATGTACAGGTTCGTGTCTTTATGACAAATCAAAAGTGTTTAATTTATTTGTGTTCTGTTTTAATTATTTTGAGTTCTGTACAAAAAATAGCCTTCTGAGTTATGAAAGTGTACATAGATTCAACAACATTCATAATGAACACTTTATTTTGTTTTCAATTTCGAATTTGTCATTTTTAGTTTAGTATTACAACTGATAGTACGAGCTGTATTCGTTTGAGATCACAGTAAAGTTTCTTATATTGGTTTTTAACCTTCGAACTTGATCTTGACATCAGTCAACGCCATATTTGGGGTTAGGAATTCCTCAATATCGTGTGCATCGATTCGTCGATCGAAGGGGAACCCCATTGGTTTTTTATCGGGGTACTTGCTATCTTTAGCTCCACAATAACTGACAGCGTCATCGCACATGTGGTTATCAGATCCTTTTCCGCCAACCTGTTAGAAAACAAAAGGATGCATAAAGATATCACCCAATTATAGTCAACGCCTTTATAGTCAAATATGTCAAATTCATTCACTTGAAACAAAAACAAATATTTTCGTATTTTCAGCATTTTCGTTTTTATAAATTAATAATAATCAGTAAAATGATATTTAGATTTTTATTTGAAATCAGTGGTTTCAAATTATTTTATTTTTATTTGAATTTATGTGTATATATATATATTGCACTGCTTATTCTGCGAGCAAAACCTCCTCTACCACGTATTACTGTTTTCGTTACTGTTTATAAGTATTTTCAGTGGCCTTAATTCCCCGATACGTCAGCAGCTATTTTACGAACTTACAGTGCTAAAGTCCAGGGTTCAGAACACAGATATCTTATTGTATAGCTTTGCGCCAAAAATCTGACCTTATAACAAGAGATGAATATCAACCACTAATAAGCGTAAATTTTAAACTGTAAACACTACCTTTAGTTCTATTATCCTGTGTTATAATATCTATCACACCGGAATATCTTATTTTCCAAGTTAAAAACTTGATATTGTAACTTTACCACTGTTTTACAATGTGTTATCATAAACGAAAACTTTTAAACTTATACAACCTTATTATTCATGTATTTTCAATTACGTAAGCTTCACGAAAGCTACGGTAGTTTGAGTTGTTAAAACGTTCTTTATGAGTTAGTGCTTGTGAACTGATTCTTGAACTAATTTTTTAGATAATTCCGTTTATTTGTCATCTCCGTGGTTCTGAGTCATTCCGAAGATCTGCCCGAAGCCAGACAAGTGTTCTACTAACTAATCTATAGGGTTAGCCTATTAACATTAATAAGGCACCTTGTTTAACAACTCAAACAACCACAAAACTTAATCGTTACTGTGCACTCTTTTCGTTCGTGTTTTAAATTAAGCAGTAGCTAATTTTAAATGTTTTTTTTTTTAAATTTGGATAGTTTTAATGAATCTGTGAAATAAAAATAAGTAACGTTTCTGTTATTCATCCTACTTGTTCCATTGAACTAAATGATATATTATCATCTAAATGATTCAGGTTTGTACTTACATTGTCATGTTCCCAGTCAGTCAGCATCACGAAGAGTTCAAAAGTCATTCCCTTATTGTTACCACGTGGTACCAGCATGTTCTTCGGCCATCCACAGCTGCAGTATTCATCAGCATTCTCGTTCACTCCAACACCACTCTCCAGCTCATCAAAAGTATGTAGAGTGGAGATAGTCACACTGGAATCCACGGAGTTACGTGTGATTTCATTTTTTCCGGCCTTTACTGCAAATAGAGATGATTGAATTTACTCGCGAAAAATATAATTTTGTGAATTAGCTTTAATCAATCGGCACACTCAGAAAACGTCGTTCAGAAACAAAATTGAAATATTTAAAATTTAAAGAAATAACCAAGTGATAAGTAATTGTCAACCAAAACTGGTGCAGTAACAATAGTGCTTAAATATTAGAAAAAACTAGGCTAATTTCACATTTTTTGTACGTTTCTGTTAACAATCGGTGCCAGGCGACCCATATTCTTCTTATAAATAGGGCATTCGCTTCTACTGAGAACTGTGTGTGTGTGTGTTTTTCTTGTTCGTTGCTTTTGTTTATTTTTTATGTTTTGCTGTATTTGATGAACTCTTTCATCAACACACTTACGTTCTTTGTGGAACTTGTCGAGCTCAATACAGAGACGTCGTTGGTCATTGGGATGCAGAAGGTTACCCAGTTCATCATATTTGGGAGCCAAGAAAACTCTGACAGTGGCATGCTTGGTGGAGCCGGAAGTGTTCTCTACTTTAATTTGATAGCTGAATGATTCATGATCGAGATGGTTGTATTTCACCTGTCGGGGATTAAAAACAAAATCCATGAAATTACGTTAAAATTTTCCATCTTGCTATAAAATTTTTAAGTACTAAGATACTTCCATGTTTAAATGATTTAACACAGCATGTGCACTCGATGTAATTAGTCACTTCTCTTGTATTGTTTAAACACAAATTACTTATTTTAACTAATTAACACTAATATATTGATAGAAGTTAAGCACGAAATATTTCCCTCAATTTACTTTTATTATTATTATATTATTTGCTTAAGATTTTAAGTTTTGTAGTAAAATTTTAGAATAGTTAATTTTTGCATGAAATAAATTAAAATATGTAAATCTGAAACTTTTTGATCTTTTAAGTAGAACTAAATCAAATAACCTTTCTTATCGTATATTTTATTTAATTCTTCATATGCTTTCAAGTTAGTTCAAAAATGTTTCTTAGAATATTAAATTAATGTTTCCGCAAGTGAGGTAGAATAGGTGCATATATTTTCCTACAATTACTGGTCACAAATAATTTTATAAACATTGAAACTACAAAATTATCTTAGAGATAATCTCTTTTCTCATATTATACAATACTAACCCTATAACTCTTTGATAAAACATTACCTTCACAGAGTGATCAGTACCGAAGTTGATTCCATGGGTAAGCTCCAGTTCGCTCTCAACCATAGATGTAATGATAACGTTGTCGGTCTTGGCCTTCACAGTAGCACTGAGAACCTCAACTCCTGGGAATGATAGCTATTCACAGAAAAGTATATTCATGAAATATTGAAATTTCAAGTAAATATTCATGTTTGATGTATATTAAAAATATACACTTTACGACCAAAACCGTGTTGGTAGATGGTCCAATTAATTAATATTGATAAACAAATTTTGTCAAAATGTGAAATATTTGTATTGACAGTTGAGACTGTGCTTTGTGTGCCACTCAAACTTACTGCCTGGTTTAGTTTATGACTCAACTGCTTCTCATCAAAAATATCCTATCAACTATTTAAGGCTTGTATGACTCAGTAACGGCTTAACATGGTATTTTAGATTGTACAATAAGGTTGAAACAGAATAAACTCTTTTATTTAAATGGAATTGATTGCTCGCGTTGTTTACACTGAGTCGTTCTTTATCTATGAAAACTTGCTAAGAACAAAACGTCCTATCTAGCGACTAAACTCACGAGCTTTCTACCTTTCCACACTAGTTACTTTGATTGTTTTAAATGGACTTTTGGAAGAACAAAATTTTCGCTACATAATAGTCTTCAAAGACACAAATATATATATATAGTGAATACAATTACTGAAACGAACCTCTTCCTTTGTGTAGGGCGACAGAGATTCTTTGTATTCCTGGAACAGGTTATCAAGAGTCCTGTGCCATCTGTAGAAAATTGGATCACGTAGAGATGTAGAGGTGTCGCTCATCACGCCTGGATTTTCCTGTAAAAAATATCGTATTCTACTAATATGCGTTTACTCACAGTAAAGAAATAGAAAACTTATCGCACGAATAGCAATAAAGTAAGTTAATTAAGGTTGGGAAGTACGACTAGTGTCTCTTGTGTTGAATTTATAGTAATAATAATTTCAATAAGAATATTGGTTAAGTGTGTGTACAATAACAATATGAGGAAGCAGTTGGAGGTGGACCATATGAATATGTTGCAATATGAGCAAAATAAAATTCCTGCTTCCCTAGAAGTTGTAGCCTAGAAAATCTAAATGTTCTCATTGTCATATCAGATAAAATAAATGTATATATAATATATATAGGTTTTGGAAAATACGCTACTGTGATAATCAATACTTAACGTATAGAAAAAAATAAGTACCGGATCAGTGGGAGAGAAGTGGTGAGTTTTGGAAAATAATATAAAACGTAATTGAGACTATCGGATTGGTTGGAAAGAAGTAATTTCGATGAATATATCAATCGAATATCATTTCGAAACCGAGGAAGCCTTAAACATGACTATAGTATTTCAGTCTTTAGATTGAAAAACAAAATAGGTTCCGGATCGCTTACCAGGAGAAACCTGACAGAAATTTATTACTGACCACATTATATCTTAATATTAGTAATGTGTCCTTTCATATGTCGCCGTATATACCAAGTTTCAATATATTTTTAAAAACATAATTACGTTTTCTTTTGATAAAACGTTCTCTCTCTGTATGTTATATGACATAACTTCAATTCACGATAGGATTTTCACATCCGTATAGGTTCAAGATAGGAATATCTCTTGTACTTAATGACTTTGGAAAATAAAGGAATATGGAGCAATTTGTGAAACCAGAACCATCCAGAAAGTGACCTGCATAAAGTTATACCTCAGCCGTTGTAATCAAAATACGGCATTTTGTAAAAAGGGTGAAAATTAACAAGTACAAAGGTCAGTGACAAAATCTTCCCACATGTCTCAGGCAAGAGTACACAACGTAATCAAGAAGGATCTCCGTTTAAAAACCAGCAAACAGGGTATGAGTTCTAGTTATACCCCATTCAACCGTTGCATATTTCAAGCAAGAGAAAGAAACTGGTATTCGTGTTATTGCATACGAAGACATACCAGTCAAATCGCTAGCGTCTGTTTCAACAGTCCAGTCACACAGAAATCCATAATCGCTGTGTCCGGGAAACTGTCGACCCCGTACTTCATATTAAGTATCAAAATTTGTGTAACTGAACATCACACTAGGCGAACAACAACTATTTTGTAACTAACAAAGGTAAAATAAGTTTGTTTGTTTTTTATTCAGTTGTACTTACATGAAACTTGCCCTCGGGATCATGAGCACGAGCTGTCAGCACGTGGCCCCAGTTATGCAAACTGCCGTAGAAGCCCTGGTTAACAGATTCATGACTAGACTCAACCAAGGCACCAAGGATATCAATGCCATGTTCGTCATCAACAGCAACCTCTTTACCATGGTGGTCATGAACCATCTTCAGGTCGATGGCGTCATGGATTCTTTCCCTCCAGCGCTCCATATCCTGGATGGTGACGTCATGAAGGTCATGAAGTTTCAAGCCATCGGGTCGAGTACCGTAATTCAAACCACTAATCAGGGAAGTCAAGTGAGGAGAGTATCCCTCGAGTTCTTCATGAAAGTCGTTGAAGGGAAACATACGGTGCATTCCGTTAGATAAACGTTCACAATCATATCTGGGAAAAAAGATGAGTGTTCAGACATGAGACATAGGTTGTCTTCTTCCGCTACATGTAGACATGGAATGTCTTCTTTGAAAACGTACAAATATATATCAGAAATTCAAGTAAAGGAAGTTTTCGTTAATTCATAAAACATCAAAAAAGATACTTAAATAACCTGAGCATAAGGAGAAAAAGGGAGATTATATGCCCTGAGTTTGTCATACAAAATCCTATAACCCAAAACGCACATGTGCTACATATTCCTATCATATCCTGCACACAAGAGTTCATCATTAACCCTAGTCTTTTCTTATAAAGTTTCGTTGTTTATTCTTTTACTTGAACTGTTAGTTAGCTGTATATTCGTCAAAGTTTTTTTGTTTGTTTTTTGTGTGCACGAACCTATGAAAATTTTCAGCATTATATTTCTATGTACTTTTTCACATTACTGGAGATACATTGTATGATAGATATATATCTATATAACCTGAAATATAAAAAATGGGCATTATAGTCGAATGTAATTTGTTATTCTATAGCAAAAAAAAAACTGCTAATTCTCTGGCTATCATTTTGGAGCTACTTTGTTAACTGAACTATTGCTATATAGTTAACAATTATATTTTCTATCCCAAAATTCAAAGCATGTTCTGTAATAACTGAGTGAAATATATAATCAACATTACTCGTATAACGGATAACTCACAAACATATGGATGTATTTCATAATATCATATTAGAGTTGTCTTACCGGGCACACATCTGTTGATGCATATAGTAGAAGAGTTCTCCCTTTCGGTCCTTCTCTTTGTGCATAAATTCTGGACGCCAGGTGGCGGGATAAACAATATGCCAGTGCCAATGATGGCGGTTAATGCTAACATCTTCCCTATAGTAAGCCAATCGGTACTCGGGATCCAAAATATTGCCAGTCTCCTCAAACTCCACAACAATATCCTGGGAAAAAGCAAAAGGAGATACCACACAATTTAAATAGTATTTAAAAAGGCATTACATAATCTCACGAGGTACTGAACGTGTTATCGCATGGTCTAAAAATGTGTTGAATGTCATTTAACCTAAACATATTCTGAATGTGAAGACACACAAACCTAGCAATGTGTTGCTAACGTCACGTAATCTAACTAGTTGCTAAAATGTACTCACACACACTTAAATATTTTACTATTGTATGATTTCACAGCTTATTATGTATTGAGCTGCAGAACCTAATAAGGTGACAAAGGTCAAGTCACGTTATCTGCATAAGTGATAAAAACCGAGTCGGCCACTGTAATCTAATGTTAGTGTGGTTTTACACAGTTTAAATAAGCAGTGAATTTGGTATTACATAGATTAATTAAGACTAGAAAAAAGGATTCGTAACAGAATAGTTAGATTTAAAACAGTTTTACCTTATCAGGATGAGCAGCCGCTTCCTTATCAGCGTGTCGGATGGTTTCGACTGGTATAAACCTGTCAGGAAACACTTCTTCTATTGGAGGGACAGTAACTCCTCGGCAATCGTCACGGTGAAGCACGGCTACTGTAGCGGCATAGACAAACATACCCTCGTTGACAGTATTTCGTGCTTGTTCGAGTAGGTGCATGAGATCGTCAAAGTCCTTAGCTCCTAGAAATAAATGTTTAACTTATTTTTTTAGAATTTTGTCATTTTATGTCCAACGAAGATCTATTTTTACAACAACAACAATAAATGGATGAATTAACTATTTAAAATTCAATTCGAAAAACAAATCTACTTATGGTATTTTTACTATGAAAAAAAAAGATATATGGGCTTTTTTCAAGTGAACGATAATTTTATTTTTATGTCTTTAAGATGTAAGGTTCTCACTTTAACAAGAATATCTAACTTAGCATTTTCTCAAAAACGATTTATGATAAGCTATATGCAACAAACCCTTTAAAGTAGATAGTTTTATAATTCAAAGTGACGTATCATTTTTTACTACGAATTAGATTTTCGTCAACTAACGTCCTATGACAAAATGAATCTACTTAGTACCAGTGTTTACGTTCTGATACATTCACATACGAAATACTTTAGCTGTGCTTCTACATAAAAATATGTAGCCAAATGCTTTAAATACAAATATACTGTTTGCTGTTGTATTCCAATCATCTCTAACATTCTTTTTGATCTTTCGACTTGATATTTGTGAAAAGAAAATGAAAATTCCTCTTAAGTATCCATTTTAACACAAGTGATTCACGCTCGGATAATATAACTTGCAAATAAAAAAGTCTCGAAGCCATTTTCATTAATTCTTGTTAAAAAGTCTCGACGAACTTGTAAAGTAATGGTTGGTTTGACTGTAATGATAAAACATTAACTGTTGGCTTGATTGCAATGATAAGACGTAAATAAGAGTAGCGAAACAACACATTATTGTATACAGTAATTAATTTAACCTTTAATTTTATTTGAATAAGAATAATCATCGTAACAGCGTACAAAGAAAGACTTAAAGACATATACACCACCTACCATAAAGAATTTCGTACAAGTGTGTGGCTTCTTCTAGATGCTTGGCGTGAAAGAGAGAGAAAAGTGTGCCCCTGGGTAGGTGGCCAACATCTTTAAGGCGGTCATCTCTCAAGCCCACGGGAAGCTGATCCCTTGTCAAGCTGGTCAAGTGTTTGAAAAGAGGGAGGAGACGACTCTGCTTTTCCTTGACTGTCATCGTTGGTCGGCTATAGAGTGAGACTGGTCTTTCTGAACTCAATCCGAACTGTACCCTGATGGTTTACGGCAACGGTTACAGAGGTTTTTATACTGGCATTAGATTTTAATAAGGCCCTCGTTCCTGGAAGTATTTACCCTGAAACTACCTTAACTAGCAGAAACACGGTAAAAATATCATCACAATACAGGAAGGGAGCGGCTTTCTTCGCTAAATCCGTATTAGAAACCGGATGGCTAGCGACTCATACGAAGTGTGTTCAGAAATACACAACATTGGAATATAAGCTGGACTTTCGTTTTAAATCATAGATGAATGTATTCACACAACCCAGAACAGCCCTTGATACTTAAATACTGCTAATTTATTATTGATAATTAAAAAACAAACTTAGTGGTTAATAATGACTGTTAGAGTCGATAGTCCTTACTGCTATTTAACCGATTATGATTTTTATTTTGTTACTGTAAGAGTTTTTTTCTCTGCGTAATATCTAGGTTTATTGGTTTTTGAGAAAGTAAAATACGTAATATACTCTATACAAATGAAGATAAACACTTCATCACAACTATACAACTTTAGCAATCCTTCGAATAAAAAGTTTAAACTCAGTAAGTGCAATAATACTGAAACCTGATACAAATACTAAAATATGTAGCTTGTAAGTACAGGGTTTTCCACAAAGTTTTAATCTTCAGCTTCATAAATACTGTATTGTAAGAGAAATTAATTGAATTTCGAGCGAACACTTACATTGAATCCATCCTATAGATATATATCATCTGACTTTGTTTATTCTATACTTAGTTTTTAATGTAATCTAATAAATAAATGTTTCATGTAAATTAAAATTTCAATGTATATGGGATATTAAGCCCTTTATCGATTTGTAGGGATTGAAGTTAAGGTTTTGATTTATTCTGCTTATATCCATAAGGTGTACAGAGTTATTGTAAATGATGGTGTTTGTCTTTATCTTTATGGTTGTATGATCTAATTTTCAATGACGTACTGTGAACAGTGGAGCAGGCAGTTGCTAATCATAGGTCGACATTAAAGTGATGGTCAATGACTCTCGACATAATACAGGGTTTTGAGTATTTCGCGTTGAGTTAATAACCATTGTGATCATACGTGCTTTACAATTAACTTTAATGGTAAATTAATATTTGCCAAATTATATATCTTAGATGAGTTATATAACAATATATTAATGCTATAAAAGTTTAGGTCAAACTCACGTAGAAACTAAAGTCTTTATTTCTATATTTATATGTAATGGAAAGACTACAATTACCTTGTTATTTTTTAACTGTTTTTATATAATTTGAAATTATTTCATTTTATTCCTCTGTCACTTTAACTTTATTATAGAATTTTACATTAAATTATTGGGTGTACATTATATATTATAAACATGACTCGATTTCTCCCTTACAAACAAACCAAAAGTAGTTTAAGAGTTCGCGGTACCGGTGCTGTTGACTAGTTCAAAATTAGCAACAGCTATGCGTTGCTAGCCCTTAAGTATCTTTGCGTGAAGATCTTAAAAACAAACAAACAAACTCCCTTACAGACAGACCGAATGCAGCCTACTGGTTAGTGTGCCAGACTGTTGCTACGAAACTGTGCTCCAGACATTTGGGGTGTGGGTGCATCATAAGAGCGATGGTCAAATCCTATTATTCTGTAAGAGTAGCCCAGGTGTTGGCAATGGGTGCAGTTGACTAGCTGACATCACTCTAGCCTATCAATATAAAATGAGGGTCAGTTAGTGCAGATAGCTCTTGTATTTCTGTGGGCGAAAATCTGAAACAAAACCAGCAAAACCTTACATATGTTTTTTAAGCATTATATAGAGGCACCCCGTGAAAATATATTGACGTGCTTTGAAATATGTGTTCATAAGGTATCTCGATTTGATTTTTTTCGTTATAGATATCGTCTGATAATGTGTGAAAGTGTTCTTGAAAAACTTCGCGGAAACAAACATAGGTGCCTCATAAAAAAAAAAAAAAAAATGGCATGCCAGGTGGTTACGGCGCTCGACTCGCAATCTGAGGGTCGCGGGTTCGAATCCCCGTCACACCAAACATGCTTGCCCTTTCAGCCGTGGGGGCGTTATGATGTGACGGTCAATCACAGTATTCGTTGGTAAAAGAGCAGCCCAAGAGTTGGCGGTGGGTGGCGATGACTAGCTGCCTTTCCTCTAGTCTTACACTGCTAAATTAAGGACGACTAGCGCAGATAGCCCTCGTGTAGCTTTGCGCGAAATTCAAAACAAACCAAACGTATCTCAAAATATGGCGCATTTCTAAAGCTTTCCTGACTTTTTCTGTAGTAATTACATTTCATTAACAAATTTACATTTGTACGAACCATTTACCTTTGTATGGTATTCTAGACAGTGTTTGTGAAAACCTCAGTTTTCTAATACGTTTCTAGAGTTTGTTCTCGTTTATTGCACGAAATAAAATAAAATTGTTGGTTGGTGTGTTATGGCGCAAAGCAGATAGGCTATCTGCGCCGGTTTGTGTAAGTACCATCTTATATTTCGCTTCCAATATACTGATACGTCTTTGAGTTTTGGAACATGGTTATGCACTGAGAAAAAAACATAGAAACAAATGTTTATCATTGCAGATAATAATATTCAATTTGAAGAGATATCATTCGTTAAAATTACTTATAACTTTTGGTACGAAAGCCGTGATAATGCAATATCTAAGTTACATTATTTGAAACACATTAAAAAGAAGAAGTAAATTTGAACAAAGAAGCATAGTTCAATAAAACTTGAAGGTATAATTAATAGAATTAAACAACGAAAAGAAGTAGATAAGAATGCTTTCTACACTCTTACTAAATTGATTTATTTTGCAACGTTTCGACCTCAGGGCCACTTCAGGCAAAGAACAAAATACAACTGTGTATGGTGGGAAAAATGGTTGGAATTTGAACATAACACGAAACACGCAGGCGCGGAGCGAGACAAGTAGGTAATACATAACAAAATATAAATGAAAGATTGTTAGCGAAGTATAAAACAAAAAGTATAATATATATATATATAAATAATTATAAAAGAAAAAAGGCGGTACATGTTTGCTTTGTAGCTGCGTTATTTCTATTTTCTTCTTTTTTGCTTTCATTTTCTATGTAATATTATAATTAAATATATATATACAATATAGAAATATATATATATTTGTAGATATTTTTTGTTTGAAGTTGAGCACAAAGCTACACAAATCTCTGCCCACCACGGGTATCGAAACGCTGTTTCTAGCGTTGTAAGTCCGCAGACATATCGATGTGCCACTGAGAGGCGTATGTGTATACAAATACCTCTCTGTTCATACTATATATTATTCATATTGAAATGTTACGATCTATCTTTGATTTATAAAGAAATACTAAGTTAAAGGTATAATGTTGATGTCATGTGCATTGTAATCTATCTAAATAGTTTCTTGAAAAATGGTTTTTGTTCAATGAAAATTTAACATTCTGGCTACTTTAGGTAGCTTATCAAAACAATTAAACTTACTTATTAATCTAAAAAACTGACCTTAATAAACGAATGCGTATTTCATTATTAGCGTATCTTTTATGTTTTTTCTTCGGCTTCTTTATTTAACTAATAACGCTCGAATAGGTTCATCCTGCCTCTACGGCAAATTGAACCATTGGATTAAAAATAAAACGGAAACAAACTTGTAATCGTTCTTCCACTCATTTAAAAAATACTTCAGAGTTGAAACTTAATAAGAAAGTCTTATTTGGTTTAATTTCATACCTAACATTTTTTTTCCAGTCAAAAAGTTTGAGAAAATTAAATGTTAGCGAATTTCCTGCGGTTTTCTAAACGTAATACAACATCCGTAGCCCTGAAGAAAGGAATTGGAAAAAAAATGAACAAAATAGCGGTAACTTCAATACAAGAGTAGTTTATCGATTGTAGCCAATCTCTATTTCTCAACCTTATTCGTTATGGTGTGACGTAATTGCCTATATCTCAACTTTGAGAAGTCGTGGGTTAGTGATCTACACATGTAGTTAGTTAGTTAGTTTTTAATTTCGC